TATTTACAAAATGAATACCATGTTAGCCATTTCTGCGCGTTGGGTAAATCTGAGCAACGATACGTCATGTCTGTTAACATTATTATTTTGGGTAAAAAATATCAATTTTGTCTCAGGAAAGAACGATCGTACTTTAACTAAGAAAGGTGATATTCATAAAGTGTACACAAATATCCCACATTTCGACTCAAAATGCATGTGAAAACGTGCTTTATAAATATCACCATGAAGATCCAATCTATGACCTACTTGATCCAATAAACCAGAAAATCCTATTTACTATGTGTTTTTCAGAATCATACATATAAGTACTTTATTTAAAATATGAAAATGTATATCTTTAAAAATATTCTGCATCTTAATCCAAGTATCCGGGTTTGCCAGAAGTTATCCCACACGTACAAAGTGCCAACTTGCCGCTATAACGATTTTCTCTTTTAATTCCCCTCCGTATTGTGTGTTTCCAAACATTTTTAGTAATTTTTCCCCATGAACAAAATTGTGTGTGTGTGTGATTTAGATTTTTAATGTAGCTTTAACATTTTTCATTCATATCGCTATGATGTCTGCAGTGTGGTAGTTTATAGTGATGTTTAGCACTGGGACATCATGTAGCAGACATGTAGCATAATGTCCCACCTAATCTCAATTTCTTGACACCAGATCGACCAGTCCTAACACTAACCTCTTAATGCTGAGCGCCAAGTGAGGCAGCGGTTAGTACCAATTTTATAAGTCTTTGGTATGACTCGACCGGGGTTCGAACCCACGACCTCCTACATCCAGAGCGATCCCCCATAAACAAGACGTTTTAAACATATTACATCTTATTCGTTGTTGCGTTTCTTCCACGTAATAGCTTTTTTTCCTTCTGCAAAACATGTCAGGGGCACCGAATGGCTGAGGGGTCTAAAGCGCTCTCCGTTAAAGATCACTGCCATCTCACCTCTGTGTATATCTGGAATCTGGAACGACTGTGTATATATATGAGAATTAATTACTAGGTCGTCATGCGAGTGTCTGCTACGCACGAGCTTATATAACACCGATTCAGGGCCATCATTTTTTAGTGATGCGTGCTTAGTCGTGACGGTATATGGGTTGGTGCGTGCAGGCAAGGCGATGGGTGCCATTTACTCATTGACCTGAGTTCGAAACTCTGTAGAGTACAAATTTAATTTCTTTAATCTGTATGATAGTATTGTTTGTATTAAACTATATATATATATATATATATATATATATATATATATATATATATATATATATATATATATATATATATATATATATATATATATATGTGGGTGGGTGTCTTCACTCAGCCGTGTCGGAATAGTTGTATACTGTAATGGCGATCAATTTCTAAAAGAACGGAAGAGGAAAAGAGAGAGGGGAAGATTATGGGGTTTGAAATTAAATGTCCATTGATGTGGGGCGAAATGTCATGGGCCGATACGTCCATGGGGCGAACTGTCCATTGAAGTGTAGCGAATAGTTGGGTACGGTAATGTTCTGCTTATATAATTGCTGGGTTCAGGTGGTCCCTGTTTGCTATAATTATTTTTGTACAAACTAGGTATTGCAGAGCGTTGAGCGAGAATTAAGCTATTGGTCATCCGCTGCTGTTCATTGTGAATTCCATTGACTTAGATTACGACTACCTGGATTACACATTGGGTAGTTCTGGTTTACTCTAAACATACAACTTTCATGTGTTGCATCGACGAAGACAACAGGAAACTTGTTTTCTTTGATTGACTTTTATATCCATTGAATCATGACCAAAAGATTATGCCATTAATCAATCACTTGCTCCTATTGTTGCCAAGAGCATTGTAGGGAGGAAAACGATGGTTTGATCATGCAGACAGTATCATCTACCGCTACATAGTTTGAATGAAATATCAGTGTGAGAAAAGTCCTTTAAAAAATAGGTGAGTAAATTTAAGATTTTGTTAGTAGATCTGTACCTAATTATCTCCAGAATTTAGACTTTTTTCTACAAATGTGGAAAATATTTAGTTAAAATCATCATTTCTGTTGTGCGATATTAAATAAATCATTTATCTATCAGCGTTGTTAATGTTAACTCCATATTTGAGGTATGGCAGCTACAATCGTATTATTAACGCCATATTTGAGATAAGACAGATGCTGTCGAACATGTATGCAATTATTCTAATATCAACTTGTGGGGTGTTATAGTGGCATCCCCTTGCTACTCATTCCCGGCTGAACAATACTCACGCCAAGTCTTAAAGAAATATATAATGCTTTATACATGAATTCCTGATTCTTTAATCGAGTTTTATTTAGTAAGTTCTGCAAATATTCCCAAGATTCTACCAGCGTTGGGCGAAAAATGCACTCTGCATAGAACTGACGTGTAACCGTTGTCTAGTCTGATTAAAATCGGCTCTCCGTGGTCCTTCGTGAAGATCTGACGACGACCGCTTAGAGTCATGTTGTGGTGACCTTTGACTTAGACAATGGAAATGCAGGTTTCAAGAATCTGAAAGTGAATCAAATCGCATGTTACAAATTCATGCTCTTCATCCACGCTGCTCGGTCTCCAAACGCGAAGATGTAAAACTTCATCTGATTGGCTGATAAAATTAGCGGTTATGGTAATAACATAGGTTACCTGAAGATGACCCTCAGCGGTCGCTGTTAGAGTTTCATGTATAACAGTAGAGATCTAATTTCAATTAGACTGAACAGCCGTCACGCCTTTTAGACAAAGACATTCACAAGCAGTGCCACCGCAGTCCGAATGGCATCATTTGTTTTCAATGTATGGTAAAACCTGCCACACCTAGCTAACAGTATTATCATACTCAATTGTCTCAGGGTGATTTTGTTTTCTCCTTCTGCTTAGAGTATGTTTCCTTCAAAAACTGAGTGATAGTACTAAAATAAATAGCTTTCCCAGAACAAATAATACATCTTAACCAGAAAAGTGTGATTTGCTTTGTTTTGTGAGGCTTAAAAGAAACTTAATCGTAGTGTTATAGTAATTGGCAGCCGAAAATTCAGTTAACTGGCTTATTGACCAGTCAGCGTGGATTGCGCTATTAATTCCTTAGCGTATTTCATCATCATCATCATCATCATCATCATCATCATCATCATCATCATCATCATCATCATCATCATCATCATCATCATCATCATCATCATCATCATCATCATCATCATCATCAATCCCTTAACCTAAGAGCTCGTTGGGTCACCACAGTTGACTTTACAGCTAATTCTCTCCATCTTACCCTGTTCTCTACTACCCTTTGGAAATCTCCAAATCCCATGCCTGTCCCATCATTAATGTTGTATTCCCACCTCGTTTTCTGTCTGCCTCTTATTTTGCACTCTCGCACTGTGCTTTGCAAGATTGTTTTTGCCAGTCCAGAAGATCTTGAGACATGACCGTACCACTTCAGTTTGCGCTTCTTTATAGTGGTCATGAGGTCTTCATAGGATCCGATGGCTCGATGGATCCTGTTGTGGATTTCTTTGTTGGTTACATGGTCAATGTATGAGACGCCTAAGATCTTGCGGTAGCGTCTCATTTTGAAGGCTTGAATCCTTTTTTGTTGATCAGATGTGAGCGTCCATGTTTCACAAGCACACGCAAAGATGGATATAACAATTGAGCGCATCAGCCTTATTTTGGAAGCTAAAGCAATGGTGGTGTCTTTTCATATTGGTCTCAGCATTGTTATTGTTGCTGTTGTCTTTGCAATCTGGTTTGGAGTCCTCATCTGTGATAATTAATACCAAGTACTTGAAGTTTGTGACTTTTCTCAGCTTCTGTCCTCTGACTGTTATTTCTGCACTAATGCCTTTACCCTAAGACAAATAATACCTCGGCACATCCTTCGCTATCTAGTTCATAAAGCAGAGTGAGTGTTATGATACAATTTACTTAGGATTCATTTATTACATGGAACTTGTATTTTACGGATCCAATTATACTTGAGAACAGCAACCATTTTGAAACTCTCTTTTATATGTGGTTTGATTTGATCCAGTTATGCAATAGTTAGTTTACTTACATATTTAAACACTAGACGTTTTTAAAAAGAAACTAAATTAAGCTACCAGTCTTTTTCTAAATGTATAAATTTAGTCACATATCACACAAATCATTTTATTTTTTTAAAAGCCTGATTAACAATGTTGTAACACATTCCACCAACGAACTTTAAATTTAAAAATAATTAAGTATATACTTTACCGCATCAAATATAACAAAAGCAACCTTAAATGATTAAGCCATCGGACTGCAATGATGCAGTCTACTTGCTGAAAAATATCTAAAGACTTCACACAGTAATAAACATTACTGTTTTTAAGTCGAATTAAAAGGTTCACAGAGCAAATATAAGCTCAAATTTACGTACTTACACACATGCATAACATTAACGGAGTTAGGCAATAGTTTGGACTTTTTTCATTTCGCTGGTCACAATGCAAAACGTTTTCGATAAACAATGTTTCAAGAGTGAGTTTGATTTGGATTTTTATCGTAGCCATATCGCTACGATGTCGGCGGTGTGGCAGTTTATAGTAATGTCTAGCACGGAGGCATCATGCCACAGACATGTAGCACGATGTTCCACCCAGTAACATTATCCTGACAGCAGGCCAACCAGTCCTAACACTAAACTCTTTATGCTGAGCGCCAAGCGAAGTAGCTTGTTGTTATTGTTGTTGCTGTTATATGGTTTAATGCCATTTTTCAGCCCAATATAGGCTATACATGGCGGCCAGTATAACTGGTGGGGGAAGATCCCTGGAAAACTCCGGAAAGAACCACCGATCCACGCTAAGCTGCCAGGCTTTTTCACGTACCCGCGTTATCCGAGTCTGAGACTCGAACCCACGCAGAGAGGTGAGATGGCAGTAAACCCGGAACTGTGAGCGCTTTAGACCACTAGGCCACTCGGGGTCCCAAACGAGGTAGTTGTCGATACCATTTTTATAAGTCTTTCGTATAACACCGCCGGCGCTCAAACCCGCGACCTCCAGCATTCCAGGCGGACGCTCTAACCACTATGCCATCGAGGCTGTCCAATAGTAATTTGCATTGGAAAACATGGACGTTTTCATGTGACAGTATGACAGACCAGGAGAGGAAAGTGTATGTGACTATGTGACAGGTCTGGTGATAAAACTGTGACTATGAGACAGGTCAGGAGATCCATGTGTGGATATATCACAGGTCAGGAGATAAATTAATTTGAGATTGAAAAATATTTCTAGCGATATTTTGAAATGCATAATGAATAAATGAAAACAACGTCGGCGATAACAACCGTGCTCAGGTAACCTGGACACGGATGTCGATGAGATGTTTTCGTAAATAATTTTACGCGAGAAATTTTAATAATTACAGTTCCATCTTTAAATGGATTCAGAACCAAAGATCATAGCCTGATTCACTTTTATATGGTTTCAGGTTCAATGTTCATAGCCTGATTCACTTTTAAATAGCTTCAGTTCCAATGTTCATAGCCTGATATACTTTTATATGGTTTCAGATCCAAAGTTCATAGCCTAATCCATTTTTAAATGGCTTCAGATCCAAAGATCATAGCCTGATTCACTTTTATATGGTTTCAGGTCCAATGTTCATAGCCTGATTCACTTTTAAATAGCTTCAGATCCAATGTTCATAGCCTGATTCGTTTTTAAATTGTTTCAGATCCAATGTTCATAGCCTGATTCGTTTTTAAATGGCTTCAGATCCAAAGTTCATAGCCTGATTCACTTTTAAATGATTTCAGATCCAAAGTTCATAGCCTGATTCACTTTCAAATGGCTTCAGATCGAAAGTTCATAGCCTGATTAATTTTTAAATGGCCTCAGATCCAATGTTCATAGTCTGATTCACTTTTAAATGGTTTCAGATCCAATGTTCATAGCCTGATTCACTTTTATATGGTTTCAGATCCAATGTTCAAAGCCTGATTCACTTTTATATGGTTTCAGATCTCAAGTTCATAGCCTGAGTCATTTTTAAATGGTTTCAGATCCAAAGTTCATAGCCTGATTCGTTTTTAAATGGTTTCAGATGAAAAGTAAATAGATTCACATTTAAATGATTTCAGATCCAAAGGTCATAGAGAGATTCACTTTTAAATGGCTTCAGACCCAAAGTTCATAGCTTGATTCACTTTTAAATGGCTTCAGACCCAAAGTTCAGAGCCTGCTTCCTTTCTAAATGGCTTCAGATCGAAAGTTCATCGCCTGTTTCACTTTAATATGGTTTCAGATCCGAAGTTCATAGTCTGATTTACTTTTAAATAGCTTCAGATCCAAAGTTCATAGCCGAATTCACATTTGAATAGCTTCACATCCAAAGTTCATAGCCTGATTCTCTTCTACATGGATTTGGATCCAAAGTTCATAGCCTGATTCACTTTCGAATAGCTTCAGATCCAAAGTTCATAGCCTGCTTCACTTTTAAATGGCTTCAGATCAAAAGTTCATAGCCTGATTCATTTTTAAATGGTTTCAGATCCAATGTTCATAGCCTGATTCACTTTTATATGGTTTCAGATCCAATGTTCAAAGCCTGATTCACTTTTATATGGTTTCGGATCTCAAGTTCATAGCCTGAGTCATTTTTAAATGGTTTCAGATCCGAAGTTCATAGCCTGATTCGTTTTTAAATGGTTTCAGATGAAAAGTAAATAGATTCACATTTAAATGGTTTCAGATCCAAAGGTCATAGAGAGATTCACTTTTAAATGGCTTCAGACCCAAAGTTCATAGCTTGATTCACTTTTAAATGGCTTCAGACCCAAAGTTCAGAGCCTGCTTCCTTTCTAAATGGCTTCAGATCGAAAGTTCATCGCCTGATTCACTTTAATATGGTTTCAGATCCGAAGTTCATAGTCTGATTTACTTTTAAATAGCTTCAGATCCAAAGTTCATAGCCCTATTAACATTTGAATAGCTTCACATCCAAAGTTCATAGCCTGATTCTCTTCTACATGGATTTGGATCCAAAGTTCATAGCCTGATTCACTTTCGAATAGCTTCAGATCCAAAGTTCAAAGCCTGCTTCCCTTTTAAATGGCTTCAGATCGAAAGTTCATAGCCTGATTCATTTCTAAATGGTTTCAGATCCAATGTTCATAGCCTGATTCACTTTTAAATGGTTTCAGATCCAATGTTCATAGCCTGATTCACTTTTATATGGTTTTAGATCCAATGTTCAAAGCCTGATTCACTTTTCTATGGTTTCAGATCTCAAGTTCATAGCCTGAGTCATTTTTAAATGGTTTCAGATCCAAAGTTCATAGCCTGATTCGTTTTTAAATGGTTTCAGATGAAAAGTAAATAGATTCACATTTAAATGGTTTCAGATCCAAAAGTTCTAGAGAGATTCACTTTTAAATGGCTTCAGACCCAAAGTTCATAGCTTGATTCACTTTTAAATGGCTTCAGACCCAAAGTTCAGAGCCTGCTTCCTTTCTAAATGGCTTCAGATCGAAAGTTCATCGCCTGATTCACTTTAATATGGTTTCAGATCCGAAGTTCATAGTCGGATTTACTTTTAAATAGCTTCAGATCCAAAGTTCATAGCCGAATTCACATTTGAATAGCTTCACATCCAAAGTTCATAGCCTGATTCTCTTCTACATGGATTTGGATCCAAAGTTCATAGCCTGATTCACTTTCGAATAGCTTCAGATCCAAAGTTCATAGCCTGCTTCACTTTTAAATGGCTTCAGATCCAAAGTTCATAGCCTGATTCACTTTTAAATGGTTTCAGATCCAATGTTCATAGTCTGATTCACTTTTATATGGTTTCAGATCCAGTGTTCAAAGCCTGATTCACTTTTATATGGTTTCAGATCTCAAGTTCATAGCCTGAGTCATTTTTAAATGGTTTCAGATCCAAAGTTCATAGCCTGATTCGTTTTTAAATGGTTTCAGATGAAAAGTAAATAGATTCACATTTAAATGGTTTCAGATCCAAAGGTCATAGAGAGATTCACTTTTAAATGGCTTCCGATCCAATGCCCATAGCTTGATTCACTTTTAAATGGCTTCAGACCCAAAGTTCATAGCTTGATTCACTTTTAAATGGCTTCAGACCCAAAGTTCAGAGCCTGCTTCCTTTCTAAATGGCTTCAGATCGAAAGTTCATCGCCTGATTCACTTTAATATGGTTTCAGATCCGAAGTTCATAGTCTGATTTACTTTTAAATAGCTTCAGATCCAAAGTTCATAGCCGAATTCACATTTGAATAGCTTCACATCCAAAGTTCATAGCCTGATTCTCTTCTACATGGATTTGGATCCAAAGTTCATAGCCTGATTCACTTTCGAATAGCTTCAGATCCAAAGTTCATAGCCTGCTTCCCTTCTAAATGGCTTTAGATTGAAAGTTAATAGCCTGATTTATTTTTAAATGGTTTCAGATCCAATGTTCATAGCCTGATTCACTTTTAAATGGTTCAGATCCAAAGGTCATAGCCTGATTAACTTTTAAATGTCTTTAGACCCAAAGTTCATAGCCTGATTCACTTTTAAATGGTTCAGATCCAAAGATCATAGGCTAATTCATTCTTAAATTGCTTCATATCCAAAGTATATAGTCTAATTCACTTTTAAATTGCTTGAGATCCAAAGTTCATAGCCTGATTCATTTTGAAATGGTTTCAGATCCAAAGTTCATAACCTGCTTCACTTTGAAATGGTTTCAGATCCAAAGTTTATAGCCTCATTCACTTTTAAATGAATTCAGATACAAGGTTCATAGTCTGATTCACTTTTTAATTGCTTCAGATCCAAAGTTCATAACCTGATTCACTTTTATATGGTTTCAGATTCAAAGTTCATAGCCTAATTATTTTTTAAATGGTTTCAGATCCAAAGTTCATAGCCTGATTCATTTTTAAATGGCTTCAGATCCAATGTTCATAACCTGATTCACATTTATATGGTTTCAGATCCAAAGTTCATATGCTAATTACCTTTTAAATGGTTTCAGATCCAAAGTTCATAGCCTGATTCATTTTTAAATGGCTTCAGATCCAATGTTCATAACCTGATTCACTTTTATATGGTTTCAGGTCCAATGTTCATAGCCTGTTTATCTTTTAAATGGCTTCAGATCCAATGTTCATAACCTGATTCACTTTTATATGGTTTCGGATCCATATTTCATAGCCTGATCCCCTTTAAATGGTTTCAGATCCAAAGTTGATAGCCTGAATCACATTTAAATGGCTTCAGATACAAAGTCATAGCCTGATTAACTTTTAAATTGCTTCAAATCCAAAATAAATAGCCTGATTCACTTTTAAATGGTTTCAGATCCAACGTTTATAGCCTAATTCATTTTTAAATGGCTTCAGATCCAAAGTTCATAACCTGATTCACTTTTAAATGGTTTCAGATCCAAAGTTCATAGCCTGATTCACTTTTAAATGGTTTCAGATCCAAGTTCATAGCTTGATTCATTTTTAAATGGCTTCAGATCCAAAGTTTATAGCCTAATTCATTTTTAAATGGCTTCAGATGCAATGTTCATAGCTTGATTCACTTTTAAATGGTTTCAGATCCAAAGTTCATAGCCTAATTCATTTTTAAATGGCTTCAGATTCAACGTTCATAGCCTAATTCATTTTTAAATGGTTTCAGATCCAAAGTTTATAGCCTGATTCATTTTGAAATGGCTTTAGATCAAATGTTCATAGCCGGATTCTATTTTAAAGGGCTACATATCCAAAGTTCATAGCCTAATTCACTTTTAAATATCTTCAGATCCAAAGATCTTTGCCTGCTTCACTTTTAAACGGCTTTATATACTTTGATAAGCTTTCTGTTAATAGTGCAGATACATCCCTTATCTAATGCGAAGCTTAGACCAGCTTTAATTTACAATTTTCATAGCCTGGGATTTTAGCACTAATTCAATCCTTTTCATTTTAACGAGAAAGATTATATACATGAACACAATAATTGCATTCTGGATAGATTACCTTTGCCTCAAACCACAAACATCATCATAAAAAAACAATCAAAATTTTATAGGATTTGTTTCGGTCT